ATATATATATATATATATATATATATATATATATATATATATGTATATATAAAATATTAACTCAATACTTAAATCATTCTTTACACCTGGAGTGTAAATATTTCAGAGGAATGTAAAAGATTACTTCACACACGACCTCTCCTTGGATATTCGTTTTCCTGGATTCATTGCTCGTCGTATTACTTGATGTATATATGTTAAAACACAACTTATGGCTTTGCGCACATTTCTCATCCTCGTTTTTCTTTATATAACCTCAACGCTATCAAATATACACCGCGTTCATTGCATTTTTATCTTTAGAGATGATAAATCATACTAAATCTATAAAAGACAAATTGTACTTTAAAAAAGGCAAATTACACTAAATCTAAATTTAATAACAATACTGTTGTATCTTGATTTCTTCGTACAATTTATGCTGTATTTACTTGTCTTCTCTCTCATTTCTCTCGATAGATTTCTCATGACTTCCTTTCTTTTTTTCTTCATGTTTATCCTTTAAAAGATGATTATCAGTCTTGAATTCTATAATTCAACGTTGTCATGTACATTCATATATTTTCCAACAGCTATTCTATGTAAAAAAGTTATACTTACGTAACGTTATTTTTCGAATGTTAGACTCATATTTCATGTAATATATGCTTCAACTTCAAATCCGTGAAAAATTTACGTATAAATATCTCGATGATTTATAACTTCAAATAACAGAGTTCTAGGAGTTCTCAGCAGTTAACAAACACGTGTCACAATAAATTATGTAATTCTGTATAATTAGATTGCATTGATGATTCACTGTCAAATAAGTACGGTGATAAAGTATCAAATTCACAAAACTTTTAAAAAGGAATCTTTATCCTTTTTTTATTTTTTCCTCTTCGATGAACTTGTATTTCTTTTTCGAACGATGAGAAATATTTCGAATGTAAGCGCAAAAATTTGAAAGAAATTTCCATTGCCATCGATTGAAAGTACAAAATACACAAAAGTACAAAATAGTATTTAAAATAAAACACGCTTGTGTGTTATGTATAATATCAAATAAACGACGTCAATTTTTTTCATTTTCGCCTCTCTGATTGAAATTATTATTATCGAAAAGTAAAAGTTCGAAGATAGTATTGATCATTGAACTTTAATCAATCAAGTTTCTAAACAATCGAACGTTTCAAGCGTAATTGCCTTCGATAGTTTCGAGAAACGATATTTCACAATCGTCAGCCCACTATGTAACGTTACCACCTTCGTTCTGTCTCGCGTTTACTTTCTCTCCTTTCTTACGATCCATTGACAATGCAACATTCAGAAAGAAGAAAAAAGAAAAAAAAAATTAATTTTCACAACACTTGATGTGCAATTGTGGAATAACCTCTATATGTGCGTTTGATTGTGGAATAACCTCTCTTTATTTCCATGGTGTTCCGCAGCTATACCTACAGCTGAGAGTGACATGGAAGGGTAGCAAACTGTTGAAACACTTCCTGCAACTTTTATGTCTGCTTATGGCTTGGTTCACGGCATTGTCACGAGTCTCTGATTATAAACATCATTGGAGCGATGTTCTGACCGGCTCGACCCTTGGTACCATCGTGGCACTAGTTGTAGTGAGTATTATTCTTCTTAACTATCCTATTGTGCGATCATAAATTACACGCGATCATGAATATGAAATATATACGATGCATCAAGCCAAAGCTTTTACGACCTCCTTTGATCGCGTTCGCTTACATTAGTGGAGAGAGACTAATCTGAAACACCGTGTCGAGTACAATGGGACTCGAATTCATCCCGGATGAAATTTATTCGAAACTTCACTGGGTCATTTCTAACGAAGATTACG